AAACTGCACCCTATTTGAGCTGAAAGAAGTCTTTGACCCAAGATTAGTCTTAGATGGCAAAATGAAAAATCGTAGCATGTGCACCCGGCTGTAGTTTGCTCACACCATACAGAGACCCAGCTGGTCTGCTGTTAAACCTTAGCTTTGATTGATAGCTTAATAAGATGGTCTCATCCACACTGAGAGTGTTTGTATCAGGACAGAGTACGTTATACATTCCCATCTACATTTGCGCACCACAGACCACAGATCATCCCTCGCTGAATATCAGGGTCCTCAGAAGTCCAGTCTGTTTAGTGATGCTCGTCCTTATCACAGTCTCAGAGTTCAGAGTTCAGAGCCTAATGCTCATCAGGGAGTGGAGAGTGAAAGGGTTTCCCGTCCAAGGCACAAGCTGCGGTTCAGAGGGTGATGCGGGCACAGTGATGTTTGAGCTTGCAGGGCAGAACGCCTCTGTTCAGCTGGTAAAACTCCACTAGTTGCAGCAGGTCAGTGAAACGCGTGTGTCCGTCGTCCAGACTGTAGAAGAGCTCGCCGTTCTCTTCAACCTGACAGTCACACACACAGCAGGAGAGTTATGGGACAAACAGATATCCCAACAAATACATTTACTGCCACTTTCCATCGACACGGTACACTTTTATTTTGTGGACTTTTCAGATAAACTATAATCTAACATCAAACTAGCCTGACATAAAAAGGTCATTTTTAGTATCACAAATTGATACTCTAATTAATTGTAGTGAAATAATTTAAATGTCTGTCAGATACTGTAATGTGCCTAATACACAACACACTTGGGTATAAATTTCTTCTTCACTTGCAGAAACTGACAGGTGGTTTTTATAAAATGTAGATCACTACCTTCTCATTTGTTTAAAAGATTACTGCAATGATGAAAGCTTCATAAAATGTTGTTTCATTTTCCAATGCATAAAAGATACATGATTTGTTACATTTAAGTACCCCTTAGCAGATTTCGACACATATATACACAAGATTTTAACCAAAGTGATTGTAAGAGAAAATTATTAAATATAAATAGTTTCTTTCATTAATGGAAATATAAGCTTATCACTAACTATAAACTAACATTTCATCACAACCTAGTTAGCTGAGTGACAGACAACATAATTTAGTCTAAATTTGCAATGCTGTTACCTGCCACTAATTTACCCATTGTGGCATAGCTGTTATTATTATTCTTATTTAAATCTATTACATTTATTTGTATTTTTCTTTAATTTTGTTTAATTAATAGTGATTTTTTTAATATATATTTTTTTTTATTTCATATTTTTTTGATTGACATTTACAAATAAAATAATATGCATAAATAAAAATAAAAATAATAAGTCATTAATTTGTTGGAAAAAAAATCCTATTTAATACCGCTTTTGTAGAAAGTGGTGATAGTTAATGTGTGTTAGTACAGACTTACCGGTACAATCTGAAAGTGTTTGATTTTCTGAGTATGGCACAGTGACAGAACAAATGTCCTCGGGTTACTTTGACTGTCCCTTACCAGAAACACCCTGAGAAGAGAGAAACAAATTACTTTATTCAGATTTAGAATTCAGTGTATCTTTAAAATCAAGTGCTTCAAAAATGGCATCACAATACTAAATAAAAATCGATATCGTCAGAGTTTTAAATGAATATACCCATCGATGAGGCCCTGCTGAGTGATTAGTTTCTGAGCCTCGTCACGGGACAGTTTGCTGTGAAACCACAGCTGAGCCACATGGATAGCTAGAGAAGAGAATGATATCCTTATGTCAGACAGAAGAAGGATCATCAGGTTTTTACTCTGTTTTGTTGATGTGTGCTTGTGTGCTGACCTATGCTGGACATGGAGCTCTGAGAGGTGGACGGACTACCATGAGAGCTCAGCCTGTGGCAGCTTTTCCTCTAGAGAAGAAGAGAACACACATATACAGTAGATATAATACTTTTTTATTATTTTTTGCTGGCGGTATGAACAAATAATGCATAAAAAAAAAAAAGATGTTGAAAAGTACAACGAAAGCAATAATTCTGATTAATTGTTCACCCTGGAAGAGTGAAACAACTCTAATGCAGTTTTAGTTACTTTAAGGCATAGTTCACCATCATTTACTCACCCTCAAACCTGTATGATTTTCTTTCTTCTGTTGAACACAAAATAAGATATTGTAAAGAATGTTGGTAACCAAACAGTTGACGGTAGCCATTGACTTCCCTAGTATGGAAAAAATACTATACAAGTCAATGGCTACCGTCAACTGTTTGGTTACCAACATTCTTCACAATATCTTATTTTTGTTCAACAGAAGAAAGAAACTCATACAGGATTGGAACAAATTGAGGTTTAATATACAGATGCTATGAAAATATCTGTGCACAATGTTCATAATCTAGTATGTAGCATGTTGTTTGCGAGTATGTTACCCTCCACGACAGACCCTCCTCCACAGCCACTGACAGCGCCTCGGACGGGTTCTCGATCACCCGACTCTTGTGTCCTGAGAAGTCCATGGCCACCAGTGAGTTCTCCGAGATGCTCCTCTGAAAACACACGCAAAGATGCAATAGTGAATCTCACAGAAAACATGATCAGATTACATTTCACACCAAAAAATTCAGAATTTCTAAATTCAGCATCATATGCGACCCTGGACCACAAAACCAGTCAAAAGGGTCAATCTTTTGAAATTGAGATTTATACATCATATGAAAGCTTTCCATTGATGTATGGTTTATTAGGATCGGACAATATTTGGCTGAGATACAACTATTTGAAGATCTGGAATCTGAGGGTGCAAAAAAATTAAAATATTGAGAAAATCGCCTTTAAAATTGTCCAAATGAAGTCCTTAGCAAAGCATATCACTAATCAAAAATTAAGTTTTGAAAAAAAAGCCTTTATTCAGAGGCCCAAACTGAGCAAAAATATGCAATTTGGTGCAGATGCTGATATTTATATGGTCAAAAAGTAAGATGATGGCTAGTTAGAGGTTAAATATTTATTAATAATAACATTTAATATTAGCTTCAGTTTTAGTTTTAGGTAACTATAATAAACCTGACTCTGGTACAGGTTCATGCGGTTTCATGTTAATGTATAAAGTTTGTAAAATGCATAAATTATTAAACAAATCAAATTTCAGCTGTAAAGCAGCTCTAGAGAAGATAATAGTGTTATTAGACTGTCTATGATTTCTATGAATCTACGAACAGTCATTTGAACTCATCTATGAATTCAGCCCCGTATTTGATCTGCTCGCTCTCTCTGCTCTTAAGGATGTTGAGTTGTGAAGGGCTTCCAGCTGTGCTGGTTTTCAAGAGCACACTCACTTATCAAACAAAAGAAGCATTTCCTTTCCACAGTGATCCCTATAGCGAGAGAAGCAGTGATTATGACTTCTGAAAGGTCCTTAATCTCAGCCGTGTGTTCGTATCCATACAAACGCACTAATACACGAGCGGTGAGGGTTTATGACACTGGATGACAGAATAATTCCACAAAGACAACAGCTTCACCTCATTCTGCATCGACTGCTTCTGTGTGTTTGAGTAAGAAAGTGAAAGAAAGCAAATCCAGACACAGAGAGCTGAGTCTCATGAAGCCTGTCAAGAACACGTTGTGTCATACTTAGTCCCCAAATCAAACGAAATAAGAAATTATATTTAGCATATTTTTTTAAGCATATAAGTTGAGCTCATTGTTTTAAATGCTGTGACTGATTTGAATTGCAACATTATTTTTTGTGATAAATAAAGAAAAGTGGCTGTGGCCTTTAAACATCCAGAAAACAATTTCTTGTTAAATTTGCCGCTTTTCATGTTTTGATAAATGATGTTTTACTCAACTGGATGATAGTGAATACAGGATAATTAATCTATTATGAATGCATATGATGAAATGTGCAAAATTGTCTTAAAAAATAATGTCAATTTTATAATAATAATAATAATTATAATAATCTGGGTACTCAAAGCGCTTTACATAGAAGGGGGGAATCTCCTCAACCATCACCTGTGTGCAGCATCCACCTGGAGCAGCCGTATCGCTCCTGAACACCTATTGTAAATAACAATGTTTTATACTTTAAATAATTGTGTAAGCAGTAAAACAACACAAATGGGGCAAAAATGCATTTTAAGTTTAGAAACATTCTGAGTCTCCCCCTCCCTTTCCTCACAGTGCTTTGGTCCAGACCTGCTTTCCTCTTTTACATCACCCACACACACACACAAGTCCGGTGAGAGAGAACAAAGCCAATAGTTGTGGAACTCCAGTAAGTAAGGCGGTCAAGGATATGACGGGAAAACCGCGGACTTGGCAACACTGTGACGGATAGTAATGTCTACAACGGACACGAGCGCTGTCACAGCGTGACCACAACAGTTGTTGTTGTCTATGAAGATGTCTAATTTGGCACAATCTCCCTGCTGCACTAATTGTAAGCCATTCCTTTGTGTATACATATCCTTACAAGTACAATTTTAGCTGTATTATTGTGTCCCCTTCAAAAATTGCTCTTGAGAAATTTTATGTTTATTGTCCCCCCCTACTGTTAGACGAAATTTATGCCCCTGACTCCTACTCTTTTTGAAAGACATCCTGGGATTTTTAATGACCACAGAGAGTCAGGACCTCAGTTTAACGTCTTATCCGAAGGACAGTGCTTCTTACAGTATAGTGTCCCCATCACTATACTGAGGCGTTAGGACCCACACAAACCACAGGGTGAGCACCCTCTGCTGGCTTCCCTAGCAACTCTTCTAGCAGCTACCTAGTTTTCCCAGGAGGTCTCCCATCCAGGTACTGACCAGCTCAAACCTGCTTAGCTTCAGTGGGCAACCAGTCTTGGGCTACAGGGCGATATGCTACTGTAATTTTAATTACAGTATTGCAAAAAAATATATAATACTCATAACTGAATTGAAAAAATATACATATATTTAAACTGTAAAGTATTTATACGTCATTATAGTGTTTGTGTGTGTGTGTGTATACAAGATAATCTATCCACCTTTTTCTTCAATGCGGAAGTAAGCCTATGGGTGAGACTTCCGGTTCATTAGCCGCTATAGGTAAATAACGAGGAGAATAACAACGTGCAGTAAACGGTAAATCTGTTTGCACTACAAACCATAATTAAGATAATACATTTACATTTAGTCATTTTGCAGATGCTTTTATCCAAAGCGACTTACAATTGGGGGATACATAAAGCGATTCTTCTTAAAGAGGCAAACAGATACAGGAAGTGCCTGTAATACCAAGTTTCTAGACATTGTTCAAATAAGTACAAGCTAGAAAGAGAAGGAATAAATAAAGAGATATAATTATTATTATTTTATTTTTTCTTATGATGAAGTCAAGTAGCTTCGAAAGAGATGAGTTTTCAGCTGTCGCTTGAAAATTGTCAGGGATTCAGCATTCCGGACAGGGGTTGGAAGATCGTTCCACCAGCCAGGAACGGTGAACGAGAATTTTCTGGAAAGTGATTTTGAGCCTCTCTGTGATGGTACCACGAGGCGTCGCTCACTAGCGGATCTCAGACTTCTGAAGGGGATGTAGATTCATGGTAGTGAGTGGAAGTAGGCTGGTGCTGAGCCTGAGGCTGTTCTACATGCAAGCATCAGTCTTGAACTTGATTCGAGCCGCAACCGGTAGCCAGTGCAAGGAGATAAAGAGAGGTGTAACATGGGCTCTTGTGGGCTCGTTGAAGACCAGTCGTACCGCTGCATTCTGAATAATTTTTAATCAATTTTAATCAATTTTTTGATTCAATCAAAACTGAATAAATTTTAATACATTAAAATAATATGATAAGACACACCAACTTTCAATATGACACAATGAACAGAGGAACCAATGGCATGAATACATGAGGGCAGGGGAGGCATGACACAAAGAGCAGGAATCAAACTACAAAATAAAAGACATGGAAAACATGAACATGACAAAACCCAAACACCACATTACACAGCAAAACAAGCTAAAAATAGCTGGACGGAGTGGACGCAGATGAGACCGGAAGCCAGACCCATAGAATTTACAAATGGCCATGCCCATTTTTATGACAAGAAAAAGGTGGATAGAAAAATTTAATACAATTTAAATTCAATATTATAAAAAAAACCCAAAAAACATGCATTACAGGAGTTAGAATTTAGTGGAGATTAACATGTGGCCACATGTCACGTCACTTTCACTTTCACTTTCACTTTCACTTAAATGCTTAATTTGATTAATTTCTTTAATTAAGTATGTGCCTAATTAAAATTCACAATAAATAAATAAATGTCCGAAATATAGGTGTAATTTTTATTTTTATGATAAAATATATGGAGGCCATAAAAGACCATGATTATTATTTTCTAACATAAACTAATATTATTCTTTTATTTTATAACATAATTTTCTAGCAATCTTGAAATAACAAAAGCTGTTTTCTTGCGATCTGGACTTCATTTTCTCACAACAACTCACCATTTTTCTAGTCATCTGCAAACCATTTAATCATCGTCTGTCAAACATCATTCTATAAGCATGCAGACATTTTGGTTTCTCGAGTCGGCTCGGCTGGCAATGAAATTGACCGCATTGACCCTATAGTGCAGCCTTCATCTCAAGTGTCAGTCACTGATTCAGAAGTCTGAATATCACTTACAGACATCAAACTAAAACCCAATTCACTCATTCATGATGCAGCAGGATATTGAGTTTAGAAATGACTTCTGTTTTCTCAAGACCAAGGAAACAAGAGGAAACAAATCTTAATTTTAAGTAACCTTTGTTATATTTACTGTACATTACATACATCTTGAACTTTTAACCTTGAACTTTCTTGAGTTTGAAGTCTTTTTAAATCAATGAAGTGCTTTCTAATGAAAAAGAAACCTGCCAAGGATGTGCCGAGCAAAAATGACAGTATTTCAGTGCTGGTTTCCACTGTATGACTGTAACGTGTGTTTATGGTTATCGTAGAGCCTCTGGGTGGTTTAAACCTTCTGCTGTGTTAAACATACATGACAGATTATGGACTAGAGTTTGTGGCTCACCATTGGAGAACTCTTCTGCTTCTGATGGGGCTGGACGAAGTTCTGGTAAAGCTGCATGCCGTACTGTGAACAAACAAACAAACAAACAAACACATTACAGCTCTGTTCCACAGCCTACATTGGCAGCTGCCTTCTGAGCAAGCATCCTAATTGAAATGGAACCTCAGAAGCGTCTGATTTAGAACGTTTGTGTTGGAGAAGTTACTTTGTAACGGCAGCTTCCCAAGATTCACATCTAACACATCAAACTAAACTCCCAGGTTAAAAGAAAAAAAGCTATTCATTGAAGATAAAAACTACATTGAAGCCATTAATGAGGCAAAATCTTAACAATTAAAAAAAAAAAAATAATATTTTTATTCAGCAAGGATGCATTAGATTGCTCAAACACATTTCTAATGTTACAAAAAATTATATTTCAAACAAATGCTGTTCTTTTGAACTTTATTCATCAAAGAATCCTGAAAAATGCAAGTTTTCACAAAAATATTAAGCAGCACAACTGTTTTCAACATTAATAATAATCAGAAAAATTTCCTGAGCAGCATATTAGAATGATTTCTGAAGGATCATGTGACACTGAAGACTGGCGTACTGATGCTGAAAATTCAGCTTTGATCACAGGAATAAATTACATTTTAAAATACATAATAATAGAAAACAGTTCATTTAAATTGTAATAATATTTCACAATTTTAGAGTTTTTATTTCTGATCGAATAAATACTGTCTTTGCATGCAAAAGCAATGCACAACACCTCAAGTTAAAAACATGGCTGAATGCAAATAAATAAATAGGTAAAAACTGCTTCACAAGGACTGAACTGAATTATTCCATTTGTGTGTGTGTGTGTTTTTTATTTAAGCAGTCCATTGCAATGTAACGTATAGAAACCTTAGCAATGCATATGCATTATATGAACAAAAATAATTCTATCACTTTGCCACTCATGTCGGCAGAAATCGTCAAATCTAATTGAAAATGAATGACTTCTGGCTGCCTTGCTGTTGCAATTTTTGTGTCAGGAGTGCATTTGAACACAGAGCCTCAGATTGAGTTTCCTCACGGCTGAGGATTCAGCAGGACCACCGTCACGGAGAGAATCGATGGAGACAAACCTTACAGAGAGTCAGAGAGAGAGGCAGTTCTCACCTTGAAGAGGCGCATGGCTGTAACCCAACACGTCCTGGTTTGCTCATCATCCGCACAGAGCAGTTTCAGATCACGTGCAGAATTCAACTTGCTTGCCTGGATATGAGGAGACATCAACACTTTAAAGCTCAGTTTTCCTTTAAAGATCTTTATCAGACCTTTTCTGTATCGATTTGAACGAACACTCCCTTTAAATCTCAGATTTAGAAATGCATTACACAGATCTCTGTCAGTGCTGACATTGTGCACTTATTTTATTTTTCTCTTATTTCTATTTCAATGTTTACTTTTATTCCATTTTAATTTATCATTTTTTCCTTCATTTTTTTTTTATTCTTTATGTACATTTTTATGACTTCTACTTTTTATATTAAGCACTTTTAATTAATATTGTCTGTGAAATGTTATGTATAAATAAACATGTCTTGTCAAAAATGTTAATGATGCTAAAGTGTATAATTGATCACTGTCCCAAGAGCTTTTCTAAAGTTGAAATGTTTCACTGTCTCTTTCTTAAATAACAAAATTGCAATCAATAGTTCAAGTCCATTTATTTAAGCATCCATATGATAAGTGGTTCAATGCACAGTCACTATCGTGAAATAACTATCATCCGTTAACTCATGCACTTCAGCCTGAATATTTTACCTAATAGTCCCACTCTCACACACATCCGAGCAGAGATCAATGTTTTAACACAAAAGAAACATTACAAAGTTCACGAAAAATAAGGAGGCAGACAGGTTGTTTGATAGCAGTTTTATATAACCCACAATAAACAATAAATCTGAGACATAATGAGGCTTATTAAATCATAAAACCATTGGTAAACTGACCTCGACTGCTGCAGTCCTGTATAATCAAGTATTACAGTGAGACTGATTATAAAGTCTGTGCAAAAAGTCAAAACATTGTGCAATCTGAAGACTGAAAGTGGCTGAAAGTCCCTGCATTGAATTACCTTCACACAGAAGCCGTAGTCTGTCGGGGCGCCGTAAACTTTTTTGGCAGATAATAACGTGTAGACGTCACTGTCACTGAACTCTGCAATGAGCTGCAAGTGTCTGGGTTCCTTTAGAAAAGAGAAAATAATAAGAATAATACAACATTAAAATAGGAATTCACACCCAAAATATGCGTCGTTGCTATTTATTGCTAAATGGACCATTAAACTGGCAAGTTATCTATCTACAAAACAAACAAATAAAACAAGTTTTCGTCTCTGTTATACAGTTAAGTTCGGGATCAGTTTTCCAAAATATGTAATCTGCAAATATTTACTTTCACACGATTTTTATATATTATAAAACAGAAATTTTATAATATATCAAAAAATCTCCAAGGCTGCATTTATTTGATCAAAACATTTTTGCATTTTAAAATAACTGTTTGAATATATTTATTTATTGAATATATTTTAAAATGTCCTTTATTCCTTAAAGCTGAATTTTCAGCATCATTACTCCAGTCTTCAGTGTCACATGATCTTCAGAAATCATTCTAATATGCTGATTTGCTGCTCGTGAAACATTTCTGATTGTTATCAATCATCAAAACAGTTGTGCTGCTTCATATTTTTGTGGAAACCGATTACAACTCATATAAAATATAAACTTCAAAAGTCATCTATCATAACAGTCAAATGTGTGAGCATATATGAGATTCCGTCACAGCGTGAAGTTCCTCAGCTGCTGTAGCAAGGAATAAATCCAAACATGTGAGACATGAACGGCATCTGACAGACCGTCAGGACACGAGCGAGCGACACGTGTGGAATTTGTAATGTAATATAGAGAAGAGAATGTGTGAGCGTTCACAGACTCCTAGAGACAAAAGACTTGACCTGTGCACACCAGGAGGGACTGGGAATCAAAAGCAAACTAAAAAAAATCAACAGTCAGGCAGTTTGTTGAAATCCGGTTCACTTTGGCAGCGCTATTGCTGCTCATTTACACTCTCACATGCTTTCAAATTGGTTATCACAAGTACAAAAGTATCTTAAGTGGATTTGAAGAACATTTCTTTGCTTTACACCTCAAAGTATTTGTTTTTTTTTACATGTTTGAAGTCTTTTCCAGAATTTAAATCAATGCCGCAAGCTCAAAGAGAGACTAAGGCTGCTGGCTTGTTACACCGAGGCTGTAATATGCATATCCGTGGCGAGAGATAGCATGGAAACGTGTTGCAACGGCAGGAGCTTTATCTCAGCAACACCGCTAGTGAGGCGAGCCGAAAGAAAAAGAGAGAGAGACAGAGAAAGAAAAGCAAGAAAAAAACCCACAAAGCCAGGCTTTGTCTCACCTTTAACTAAACTGTTTGAAAATGAATTATACAGATGTGAATTATTATTTAATTGAATATAATAAATAAATGAAATAATTTTTAAAAATATAAAGAAAATAATTATATGAAATTAAATAATATACCAAATGAATTAAATAATTAAATAAAATGTA